ACACACACACACACACAAACACGCACACACACACACACGCACACACACCGTGCGCCTTCATGAAACAAAAGAAAAAAAAACAAAAAAAAAAAGTTTAAAAATATTCACAACTGAACACTCGGATGGGACACCAAGGACCACTACATCGTCGTCCGACCACGGATGGCCGCAGCGATTTCCTTAAGCGCGTGGCACATCATCCTCTGCGTTTCATTGGACGCCGCGTGGTGCTCTTTCTAGACTGCTACTTCCTGCTCCAGTATGTCACATTGCCTCGTGAAAATGCTGCATTGCCGCTTGCTGGAGGATTCGATCGTCGAGGACATCAGCTCGCCATGTCGATCCATGACATCGGCGATCGACTCCAACGCCTGTTGACGTGCATTCTTCCGCTTGCCGCCTCCAGCCCCGCTGTCTGCGTTGTTCTCGGACTCCCGCGCAGAAGAACGTTCTTCGGGGAAGCCTTCACCACCAGCCTCACTACAACCCGACTCACCACCGCCACCTCCTCTCCTCGGGAGCTGCACCCCGTCAGGATTTCCTGTGGACCGCTACTGGACCAGCAACCCTGTGGCGACGGTGCCATGCGTGCGACGCACCGACTCCGTGATAATCGGGAATCCTAAAATTTTCACTTGCTCCGGGGCTATTGGAAAATTTAGGATGATTTGCCTGGGGAATCCTAAAACTTTTAGGACGAGTCCTAACGCCGTTTTCACATTTTCGATTCCCGCGGCCGATTTAGGATTGCGTGCAACCAACACGCAATCCTAAAAACAGGAACTTTTAGGAGTGTCTAACGAGACCCTAAGGAGGGGTGGGGTGGGGGATGCATCAAACAGTCATCACTCACAGCTGAATGTAGGGGAAACTACGCGGGAGTCACAAAAACGAGTTATAATTGCACTGTGGGCCGGGGGGCAACAGGAATTACCTCGTTTCCGAGGCCCTATGCTTGCAGGGGTCCGCTCTATATAGTCTTAGGAGTAGTGGTAGGAAGGTAGTGACAGGGGAAAAAGGAATTTGAGAGAAGAACATAGTGTAGAACTTAGCTTTCTAGCCAGGTAAGGTGGTGAGAGGCGAAAAAAAAAAAAAAAAAAAAAAAATACAGTTTCGAATTGCAGTTCGGGCAATGTATAGAACTTAGCTTTCTGGCCGGGTAAGGTAGCACTGCCCGAAGTGCAATTGCTTGCAGGTGATAAGCAACGGGACTGGAACCACCTCAGGGCATACTCACACGGCGACCCAAAATCCCAAAATCCCAAATAAAAGGGGAAAAGGCGGGTCACACGGATCGCCCAAAATCGCAAATGTACCATTTCAGTGCCCATTTGTCAGCAGTCTCTGGAGGTGACCGCAAATTCCCATTTTCATTTTTCGATTTGTTTTCTTAAATATGGAAAATTCTCTTCGCGATTTGTCATAGAAAATACGGGCTGTAAATGGGATTTTGAGGTTTTGGACGTTCGCGTGGTCCGGTCACACGCGCGTGGGTGTATCGTTGGGCAATGTTGGCGTGTAGTCACTTGTCTTTAGCCTGTAGATTCGTGTTTTGTTTTCGAGTGGCAACGTGTGCGCGGGCCCGTTTCTTTCCATTCCGGTCTTCCCCTGCCCTTCCGCCCGGTCACCTCGTTCTTCCTCTTGGCCTCCGCCTGTCTACAAGCCAACTCCGCAGTTCCCCGCCCACCTCCGCAGCTCCTTCCCCTTACCTCCGCAGCCGCTCCCCCTGCCTCCGCGGTGCCACCCCCTGCCTCCACGGTAACTCCCCCTGCCTCCACAGTTCCTCCCCTTGCCTGCGCAGGTCTTCTGCCAACCTCCGCAGCTCATCCGCAACCCTCCGCAGTTCATCCCGCTTGCTGCGCTGCTGTTTTGCTCTGGTCTCCGCCTCTGCCTGATCACATGGCGCTGCTCCAGAAAGACGTGAACGCCTTGGCGACTATGGAGCCGCGACACACACACGAGGAAGAACATACGAAGAAGACATCCAAGATGTCGAAGATGGAGGCTCCTTGAAGCCCATGGCCCAAAGGCCGTCGCTCGGTTGCGGTGCTGGTAAACGGGAGACCCAAAAAGTGCTGGAGTGCATCTGGCCCATGATCCAGCCTGGGGGGGGGGCTCCCCGAAGCCCGTGTGCCGGTTGGCGCCCGCAGACATACATAGCGCAAGAGCCAACAACAAAAAAAAA